GGAGTGGCTGTAGAGCCGGGGCCGGGGAGACTGGAGGGGTTTATTAAAACGGTTGTGATCTACTCTGTGCTTCTGTGGTTTATATCACTTCTAGAAACAAACTTGGCTCATGGGTTGTGGGAGAGTGTAGCTCTGTGGGTCATTTTGTTGCAGACTTCACAGCAGACATATAGATTTCCTTTGTGAAAATGAACTTTGCATAACTGGAAAACTTGTTTGTTGATTCTAAATTGTTTGCCTCTGCCAATGACGTCTTTAGGAAGCATTCCCATCTGCATTGTTTCCTGCTAATTCATTAGAGGAAATAAAATCCTCAGGGGATGAAAGATGATTCGATCCAGCTCCAAGACTTGACATGACATGAAGAGACCAAATAAATACAAGTCAAGTTTCATGTCATCCATTTCATTGGAAAAACCTCAAAGTAGTAGTTTTCCAATTTCTGTGTCAGGGGTGTTACGTCTTCTGCTTTCTGTTTCCTATGAACGGGTTTGAATGCATTCCTGGTATACCGTTCAAAGGCTGCCAGGCTACAGTGCTGGGATACATGCCAAGAATACATTAGTGTAATTTAGTAAAGGTTGGACATGATAATAAGGACTTGCAAAATGAGTCTGTGGCCAAAATAATGATGAATCGATTAATTCCCATCCAGAGAAGTATAAAAGGCAGATTCTGTGAATAGTGTAAGATCAGTAACTTTTAATAATCAGACACAATATGATAAAGAAGCGTATAGCAGCAAAACTATACATGCACTTATATGAAAATGGGTGTGATAAAAGAAAGCTCATGCTTGTCAGTACTTGTCAGTTTATCTCACTGTCTGAGATTAAGCATCGGTGATGCGTCACTGACTGAAAGACGACAAAACTCCAGCCTTGATTTCTATTCGTATATGAAGGCAGAGAGCATGAAGAAAACAAAAGTTGGCCTTTTATCCTGTGAAGCAGCTAAAGCTACACAGTCAGAGTTAGATGTTAGTGCAGATGGTCTCTCCAGTCAACCCATGAGCCAAGCAGTGTCTGCACAAAAATAAACGGAGACAAGGACCTTTTAATTTGGCTTAGCCAATCAGTATAGCAGCAATCTACATAGGATTAAATGAGGAGACCCATGCAGAGAACCATTTTTTTTGTTTCTGTATATTCCTTTTATTTCCTTTTTTTTTTTTTTTAATCATTTTTTCTCTTTGTGTTTTTGTTCTCTTTTATTTATAGAAATGTCCAGCTTGTCTGTCGTGGTTCTAAGGAAAACACCTAGTGTTTTTTCTTAGGGCTGTGCAGTCAAACACGCGGTCGTGTTAGTGGTGCTGGCTCACGCAATTGCTGATGATTTACTGTTGTGCATTGCATTTTGTAAAAGCTGGTTCTACTGTACTGCATCTAATGCTTCCACAGGAAGAAAACTCCGAAAGCAGAAGATTCTCTTGTTCGTTGCTCTTTTCTCGGCGCCATCTCAAAATAAGACCAACATGATGATTATGATGAGAGTGCGTTTGTGTGATTATACAGCAAATGCCCAAATTACCATGCTTCAATTAATCTTGTGTGGCATTGTCTCTGTTTTCATAGTAAAATGCAAATAAATTACCCTGCTCAGTGGGGCATTTAATAATAATATCTCCATTTGCTTAATGATGACGCAGTGGTTCAGTGGTCAGCGCTGTCGCCTCACAGCCAGAAGCTTCTGGGTTTTTGCAAAATCCTGGTGTCTTTCTGTGGGACGTGCCTGTTGTGTTTTCCCCTGAGTGGCTCGTTTTTTTCTGCCACCATAAAACAAACGCACGCATGTCAGGTTTTCTTTTCTTTTTTT